AGGGGGTGTCTCTGCGGGAGCGGAGCGTTGGGGGTTCGGCGGCTCCTCGGAGCCACAGGAAGAGGCGGGACCTGCGAGCCGTGGCCCTGCCCGCCCGGGCTGTGGGCTTGGGCTCGCGCGCATCCTCGCTTCCCGTCGCTGCTTCTCTGCTCCTCTGGCGCTCAACCTTGGATTTACCTGGGGAGCTATGAGAAGTGGTGACGCTTGGGCGCTATCTCCGGAGGCGCTGGTTTAATTACTTCGCCTTTGGGTTTTTTAAACCTCTACTGGGCCGTGAGGTTTTGAGAACCCTGATCTGACGCCACCTGCTCAGTTAATAACCCTCGCCTTTTCGCCTCGCCTTGGTCCTCTTTGGTTCCTTCGGTCACCTGGGTACTCTGGGTACACCTGGGTCCTGCGTTCCTCACTAGCTGTTACCTGCCCCTCCCCCTCCCTAGAAAGCCACCCCTCCCTCACCCCGTGTCACAGGTGCGTGGCTCAGCAGGACACATGTGGGTCGCTGGTGGCATCTGTGAGTTTCTGCCCGAGACTTAAGTACAGAGATCTCGTCCCTCGTGGTGACCACGGACTTGCACGCGTTTCATGTTAGATCGAGTTGCTGTTGCTTCAGACTCTTCATCGTAGCTTGAGAGTCACCGTACGGTGACACGCTTTGTATTTCAAAGGGAGTTTGAAACCTACCTATAGTATCCCATACATATTTAAGTGTCTATGATAAATCCTGTGACTGGGAAACCAAAAAAGGGCCAGTTTAAATATTTCCATCCTCAATCTGTAAGCTGAGACAAAAGAGAACATGCTCACAGCCTCAAAAAGGTAGTTTGTGTACTTTTGTAAGTCCTTTCAAGCCCATGAACGTTTTTAGTTCAGTGCCCTAGGTACGTGATCCTGTCTGACGGTATTGACCTATTAAGGACTCTGGATATAACATTATAAACCCTTCTGTAGTGTCTGGAATATTATATTTCCTTCTACTTCAATGCCATATTTAGGAGACTAGATCATAATATCACAGTAATTATTGTTATTCAGTAAATTTCCTCTGTAAAATGAATAATTACTCTTTAACCATTGTGGTTTTCATTTGGTCTAGAATGCTAAGAATGAAAAGTATCCCAGGAAATGAATAAATGGTGTCCACATTCAGTTTGCCAAAAGTTTAGCGATTGAAATAAAGCACACCAACGGAAGACTTAGAAGTATTGGAGGAAAGGAGAGAAGATTGGTGTAGTCCATTACATTAAATATTTTGTTATGTGCATATATATGTAAACACAGAAGGTGCCAAAAAATAAATACACATTTTAAGAAAGGAAAAAAACTATTAAAATTGTTGTGCTCAATATAGACCGATACCAAAAGATGAATACAAGTCACGTTTGATTTCTGCAGTTGCAAGAAGTGCTCAAAGTGGTTACCATCAGCATTAGAGTGATACATAGATGACATCTCTTAAAATGTGTATACATTTTTTTGGTGCACTCGGTATATTATACAATAAAAAGACAATTTACTGCTGGGCTCGGTGGCTCAGCCTGTAATCCCGCGCCTTTGGGAGGCTGAGG